ACACACAACATCCAAGGATGCCCATCGCCATTCCCAAGACGCCAAAGAATGGCATCACAAAATTCACAAACTGCCGTCTCGTAAAGGGCGACGCCCTCGTATCAGAAGACATCTGGGTCAGCTCCGTCACGGGCAAGATCATCCACAGCCAGGCCGCCTTCTTCGACGACCTCTGTCTCCCGGATGAGACAATCAACCTGGGCGGCCGCATCGTGTCGGCCGGCATGATTGATTGCCAGCTCAACGGCGCCTTCGGCTTCAACTTTTCCACGCTGCTCGAGGACATGACACAATACGGCAAAAAGGTCCGAGAATTGAACAGGAAACTCGTGTCTACGGGCGTCACGTCCTACGTTCCGACACTCACCAGCCAAAAACCAGAGCTCTATCAGGGGGTGAGTAAGACCTCATCTACATGATTATTGACATGGATGCTAAGTAATTCCATTTTCAGGCCCTGCCGTATCTCGGAGCATCAGGAGGCTTACAAGCAGCCCACGACGGAGCCGAATCGCTCGGCGCCCACGTGGAGGGCCCGTTCCTGAACCCCACCAAGAACGGCATTCACAACGTCGACGTCCTGCAGCAGGCAGAGACCTTTGACGATCTGGTCCGATGCTACGGCGCCGACAACATCGAACCCAGCGCGGCCAACGGCGGCGTCATCCCGATCAAAATGATCACGGCGGCGCCGGAGCGGGGCAACATGACCAAGATCATCCCCGAGCTGCGGGAGCGGGGCATCATCTACTCCATCGGCCACTCGGAGGCGACGTACGAAGACGCGTCGGCGGCGGTGGCGGCGGGCGCGACGATGATTACGCATCTGTTCAACGCCATGCGTCCCCTTCACCACCGTAACCCGGGCGTGTTTGGCGTGTTGGGGCTGGCGGAGAGCTTGGCGCGGCCGTATTTTGGGATTATCTCGGATGGTATTCATCTTCATCCGACGACGATCAAGATTGCGTTCAACGCGCATCCTGATGGGTTTATTCTGGTGACGGACGCAATGCATATGATGGGCCTTGCGGATGGGTCATATCAGTGGGTCAATGGACAGGATGTGAATAACATTATCAAGGTTGGCTCTACGCTGATGCTGGAGGGCACCAACACGATTGCTGGAAGGTGAGAGAGACATATCAATGATTGTTCGAGGCGAGGTTTTTTGCCAGACAGCAACTAACATCTCGATAGTGCCGTCACGCTGATGGAATGCGTAAACAACTTCCTCCGATGGTCTGGTACGGGTATTCCCAAGGCGTTGAAGGCCGTGACCGCGACGCCGGCGGCGATGCTCGGTCTGCAGGGTGTCAAGGGATCTTTGGAAGACGGGGCGGATGCCGACTTGGTCATCTTCTCTGAAGAAATCAGAGAGGGCGCCACGCAGCTGGTAGTAGACGAGGTTTGGAAGTCTGGAGCGTTAGTGTCGAGCAGAAAGGACGATCAATCGCCCATTACGCCATAGAATGACGAGCTGTAGGGGAAGTACACGAGTCAAGATTCTGAGGATGAGTACAGACACGGGGAAGAAAGATGACTAGAGAAGGGAGAAGGACAGGGTCGAGCCCTACAATAGATTGTATACTCATAGAGCTGCCATCCGAACTTGAGGGTGTAAATGGATGCGCAGATAAAGTTTCCAAGATGGCTGGGGATGGTTACTGGTAACATTAAGTACCTTGCTGAGTATGGTAGAGAGGGCCTCGCTTAGTCCTCGCCAAAGTTTGGTTGACTCTTGACTAGAGGGCGGTTGCACAATATCCAAGTAGATTAGGTAGACGCCGACATTCGGCCATGAGCTAAAGAATCAAGACGATGTTAACGATGAATGAGGCTGCTGTTGATTATCTTACCTTAAGGAGTGAGGGAAAGAGTATAGTGCCTCTGTACAGTAACAAAAACTGTGTTCCGGGAACCATCGGCCCATTGAATTACTCGCCTAAGGTGCTGTGGTACTGCATAACAGCCCGAAGACACATCCTTGAAGCCCCCCCCCGCATCTTGGTGCCATCACTTTAATCCCCTGCCTCCACAGTGCGATAACAGCCAGCCAATGACGGTACACGGGTGTCCTGATAGGGGTGGACACTGCGCAGGTGCTCTCCTTCCCTCTTTCTCGCGCGCTTCGACTCCACGCTGTCTCTCTCCAGAAGCCGAAGCCTTCGAGGGAACCCTCCGCTTTTGTATTTCCCATTGACACTCGTTAATGTAGGCCACCAGCGCCAACCACCCCACGTCCCTTTACTTGTTTGCTTTTGTCTCAGTGGTCGCGGGCAATCTTTTTGCTCGACTCTACAGAGCTTTTCTTCTAGAAACTTTCCGTCCGGCAGTACTCGACACCACCTTAGACCAGGGCAGCGAACCCCAGACAACCTCGTCCACCCGACCAGGCGTAGGTAGCTGCGCGCATCGTCGGCACGGCGCTCGCTACGCAAGTCCTACTACCATGCCATGGCTGCGTTCCATTCAATGTCGTCCGGCGCGACGCCCGGCGACGGCATGAGCCTCAACAGCGCCGTGGTCGACGGTATAGACTCTTCCATTTTTGACGATTCACTGCTGTAAGTGCCCTTCCCGTCCTTATTTGGCACTTGGCGAGGCTGGTGAGACGCAGGACCGTCAGCTCCTCCCGTCTCGCTGGCACCCGATCGCAACCATGAGACGAAAGTCAATTTGGCTAACACACGCCTGTCTTGCTCGCTTCTTATAGAGATACCGTCAATGGCACTTTTCCTACATTACCGTTCACCCCCACCTACGGCTTCGAAGACTTCTCCGCAACAGGCTTCGAAGACCCCTTTGCATACTCAAATCGCCAGTACGAAGCACCCCCCGCCCCCGAGGATTTCAACCAGGACTCGCCCACGCAGGAGCTGGACAACAAACTGCTGGGCTTTTCGGCCCCGACGTTGAAGGCGACGCTTTTGGACGGTACGGGCCAACATGTGGAACCTAGCATGACTGCCGAGCTATACGGCATGTTCTTCGTCGCCGAGGACGTCTTTGGCGCCGAGAACAGCGGCCGGCCCCTCGAGCTGACGTGCTACCGGCGAAACCTGTGGCAGTGCTCTGGCCAGGTAACCATACCGCGACACATTACCCACGTGGTGGACGAGCAGGGCCGGCAGATGCCCATATTCGAGCTGTCCGCCTCCATAACGGCCATCGAGTCCATCGAGGGCAAGGTCACAGAAATTATATCAATACCATGGAAGAGCGCGCATCCCATAGGCGTCGAGGAACCCAAATCCAATGGTGGACCGCCCAACATCGTCTTGGACCTAGCCAACGGGCATGAGGTGGACGCCAACAGGGTTTCCCTGCCGTTATCGTGGAAGAGGCTACAGTTCAAGCACGCAACGGCGAACAACGGAAGGAGAAAGGGTCTCCAACAACACTACATTGTGGAAATCAGCTTAGTCGGCAAGCTGCAGTCGGGCGAATACATCAAGATTGCCGAAACCCACTCCGGCCCCGTCATCGTCAGAGGCCGCAGCCCGAGGAATTTCGACAGCCGGAAGGACATTCCCTTAACGGGCGGAGATAAGAAGGTTGGCGGGAGGAGCAACAGCGACGCTGCTGCTGCGACGCCTCAAAAGGAAAATGGCAGCAACAGTGGCATTCCCACGCCGGTACCCAAATATCAAAATGTTGGCAACGTCCAACAACCAGCAGACTGGGCGCCGCCGCAACTATACCGTGAGTCGAGTGGGGGCCAGCCGCCAGCGAAGAAGCTCGCCATGTCACCGGGTATCAACAGACCACCCATACCGGCGTGGTCCACGGAACCCTCGAGAAACCTAGGCAGAGCGTCGGCATCCATCTCGGCGCCGCGCGGTGCTATTTCCGGCCCAATCAATCTATCGCTTTCAGAAGACGAGAGGAGTCCGAATCGATCAAATTCGGACGTGCAGAGCCCGCAGTTTACCAAATCGACGGCTGCTGCGGGCCATAATCCGAGCCAGAGTCCCAAGGAAGAGGATGATCTACTCTACGAATACTTTCCGCTTAGCGTCGACGATTGGTAAGAGAACTTTTCGAGGTTAGTAGCATTGCACTTGCTAATAAGTCACCAGGATGCCGCCAGTCGAGGCAATCTATCGCCCCCACGTAGTGCACCACACCATTGTACCGCCGGAAATCAAGGCACAGCAGCTCCGGAGCAAGGCAAAGAGATATTTTACCGCCGAATCGTAGGGTTTTATATATGGGAGCATATTTGATACGAATTGACGAAAGCCACATTATCGTTCGGTATTTTGTTTTTTTCTTCCCATTCCTAATGTGGTTTTAAACATCTTGGTTGTGTATTATACGGTAATTGTTACATTGGAATGCTTTTCTACTGAGATGGCAGAGCATATCAGGGGAAGGGGCCGGGGCGGGCGGTTAAATAGCAAATTAGGTCTGATGCGGTTATACCCGAGTTGTAAGTGACGAAGAGACTCAAATACAGAAGAATAACTATAATCGGCTCGGCTTCTTTCTTTTGAGTCGGGTTTCCTTTCATCACACAACATTGCATGCAATAAATACAGTACTTGAAATATCACACATGTCAAGAATGCCTTACAGCACGATCTACCATTTTCTGTAAATGTCTTTCTCCAACTACATGACGAGCCCTGCTCTACCTACTCCTATACGCCTCATCCAAGTGGACATAAACCCCGCCATCTTACGATTTTATTCAATTCCTTACACGAAAGATTCATTCTTTTTTCCATACTACCGGAGTCATAAATCTAAGTCTCATAAAAGTTTTCATCTTTTTTCCTTCCCTTTATTTGGCCATAGTCTACTATGCTACATTCTGTTTGAGGCCTTCTTTCAAGATATCAAATGTCCCCCTTCCCCCTTCCAACCGCAATGCGTCTTTGAATGAATCCCTTGCATCTAGCGAGTGTAAATTGAATGAAAAAGAAAACTGTCAATATGCTTACAAAAAATCTCAGCTCGAGAAAAAAGAAAAGAAAGAAAACTTGGTGGGTCTTTTTTCAAGCACCGACGGCATTGACCCGCGACATCATCTGCTGCTCCGGATTCGGCGTCAAACGCCTCGCCAGCGCAGGCTCAGGGATCCTCGACGCCATACGATCCGGAACCAACTCCGGCGTGGCAGACCTACTAATGGACGTCGACGTCTTCTGCTGCTGCTTCTCCGGATTCGGCGTCAACCGTCCCGTAACCGCAGCAGGAACCCCCGGGATCCGCTCCGCCATCCTGTCGGTAACGAGATCGGGTGTCACGGCGCGGAGCTGCTGCTCCGAGGGGGACTTTGTGCGGGAGCCCATGCTCTCGAAGACGAGCTCGATGTCTGGGGAGGTGGAGCGCGAGCGGACGGGGTACTCCGTCGCCGGGGAGGCGCGGAGCAGGCGCGAGGTCGTGGGCTGCGGGTGGAGGATGGTGGGGGTGTCGACCTCGTCGATGCGGGTTATCGGGATCGGGGGCGGGGAAGGGCCGGTGCGGATTTTGGAGGGGAGGATTTGTTCGAAGCCTTGTTCGCGGGCTACTTTTTCGATGGATTTGAAGTACTAGGTTGGGTTGTTTTTGTGAGTTTCTGGAAGCTGACTTTGGTGTTGGGAGAAAAAGGGGGAGGAGTCTTTACCTTGACCGTCTTGACTTGCAGCTCAAGCGTCGCATCCTCGTCGACGACAATCATGGGGTGAGGGTGCAGTTGCAGACTCGATAGCGTCCACATGTGGTTCACGCCCTGCTCGATACACCTCTGCAGCGCAAGCGCCTTCTTCGCTCCCAGAATAATCGCCACGACCTCGCGCGCCTCGAGCACAGTCTGGACGCCGACGGTGAGGGCCAGACGGGGCACCTGGTCGACGTCGTTGCCGAAGAAGCGCGAGTTGGCGAGGATGGTGTCGTAGGCGAGCGTCTTGACGCGGGTGCGGGAGGCGAGAGACGACCCGGGCTCGTTGAAGGCGATGTGGCCGTCCTCGCCGATGCCCGCGAGGAAGAGGTCGATGCCGCCGACGGCCTTGATCTTGGACTCGTAGGCGACGCACTCGGCTTCGAGGTTTGGGTTTTGGCCGTTGAGGATGTTTACGTTTTGGGGGTGGATGTTTACGTGGGAGAAGAGGTGCTTCCACATGAAGGAGTGGTATGATTCTGGGTGGTCGCGGGGGATGCCGACGTATTCGTCCTGGGATTCGTGTTAGGAATAAGGTTTATGAAGGTGATGTTATCTACTGTATGAGATATTTACATACCATGTTGAAGGTGATGACATTTTCAAAAGAGATCTATGAGTACACATGTTGTTATTAGTGACCACGATACTTGATGGTGGTGTTGGTTGAGAGACACGGTCCTACCTCTCCAGCCTTGTACTTCTGAACAAGGATCTTGTATACACCGAGAGGACTGCTTCCCGTAGGCAAGCCAAGCACGAAGGGATGCGCCGGGGTAGGGTTGAAGTGCTTGATGCGGTCAACGACGTAGTTGGCTACGTAGGCGCTGGCTGCCTCGGCATCGTCGCGGATAATCAGCCTCATCGTGGGGGTGGATGGCTTTACACGGATATGGAAAGGTACAACGATACGATATGATACGAGGAGGTATAAGGTATAGGGCAGAGATGGATACAAGGGCAGATGGTAGTTAGACACTCGCAGGTATCTTCAACTTTCGTATTGTGAGGACAGAGAGAAAAGATAGACACGAAAGGGGGGCAAGATGAAAGGTGCCTTTGCTTATGAGGGAGCAATTACACCCAGGTGGACAGGCAAAAAGTCTTTTGCGGTTCGCCCACGCCCCTCCTTCGAGGGGGTTCCCCCCCTCCCCGGGCCTGTCTCGTCGCAAGAAGCCTGACATCACAGACTTTTGCGGCAACAGCCCCAAAGTATGCTGATGATTCTCCCACCTCAACCCCGTTTGTATGGTGGAGGGGGATGGAACGTCACTGCTATCGGCGGTGTTTGAGGAACAGAGTCCCACCACCAACCGGGCCGGCAGGGAGGGAACAAATTGCACTGTACATACATTATCAACGTTGCCCGTGACAGGATCTTTTTTTTCATCGGTCGAGTTTCTCTTTACAAAGGATTGGAAGTCGAAGCGATCTCGACTCATGAACAGCGGAGATGATGTACCAATAGGTCATGGTATTGACATGATCATCAGAGCGGTTCTACGAATGAGACCTGAGCTGATGAGGAGCCTAGTGATGAGCAATACCATTTGTGATCGTCTTATTGCAGGCAGGCCTTTTTTTCTCAGATAGCGTATCGTCATTCACGATTTAGACTCGAGTTGAGCCGAGCTTCCCCGGGTTTGCCGGGCCAGGGTCGGGCATGTTCCTGTTTTCCCAGGCGGGGCGATGGTGGTGTTGAAGGAGCCATGTGGTCGGGTTCAATGACTCCCCAGCACCTAGCATGGGGAGGGGCCCAAGCTTGGAATAGCTGCTTTCTGAAGCTTCTACTGTGTGGATGTTTCGATATCGGCGCGCACGGGGTGGCGATGGTGGTCGCTTGTCGTTGACACGGCCGGCGTCCGTGAACTCGGGTCTCCCTCCTTGGCTCTTTGGGGGCCCTGGGCTTTCTGCGACCCAGCGGCTGACGATTGATTGCATGTCACTGCATGCCAGCAGGGGGGGTGCGGATGGCCTAGTGTAGTGTACGTCTGGAGGATGCTGTGCTTTGCATGCAACTGATACGTGGGGACTGAAGCGAGCGATCTAACGTAACGGGCATGGTTGCCGCCGGCCGGCTACTTAGTGTAGACCCCTCATGATACATAAGGTATAGAAGGACGGATACATAATGGATGGGACCGCTCGTGCGGTATCGTGGATGGTTCGAGCTTGAAAGGTCAACGGCGGCTCAGTCGTTGGTCAATCATTTACCAGATTGCCATGAGACGTGGTGCCGTGGTGGAGGCCTCGGCATTGCTGATGAGGATTGGTTCATTAGATGAGACAAGAGGCCGGTTGAAATTGATAGAGGCAACCATGCAGGGCCGGTAGAGGAGAACGTGTCAGTGCAACGGCGCGGATGGTATCGTCAAAGATGGTAATGGAGGCTTCATGGTTGCTCAATTCTTTGATGGAGTCTTGGAGGTGTTGGTTGTTGCATGTAACTTTGGTAGTGGATCTTAACAATTTAGACAAGGTGATAGAGTGGGGGATCGACCCTTCCTTGGGCTCCGAAAGCGCCGGAGTTGCTGTCCGTTTTCGTCTGATCTTGGTCAGCCACACCACACTGTCCACTGATCACACTCACAGATTCCGCAACTACCAAAAAGCAACGTTACAACTGGAGGGGGCAATTCTCCTCCTCGATCCCATCACTTAGGTACTGTCCACGGTCAACAAGCTCAACCACAATTGTCAGACAGTGCCCGTCGCGTCCGGTCTAACAGACACCTATCTGCTTTAGCTTAAGCTCATTGAGAGGTCCACTGAGCTACCAATACCTGGCGTCTGTCTATTAGCGAATCCCAACATAATGTTTCGGCTCTCCTGACTTGCTTCTATTCAAGTGCCATTTGTGGCTGTTGTCTCAGGGCCACAGCGTACCTATAGGCTCTTAGAAGTCTCTATCCTTTCCCGCTGTACGGTACTCTTTCATCGTTGCATGCGCTCATCTGTCATCTACCGGTTAAGCTTAGGTTTCATTCCTCTCATACTCACTCTCTCTTGTCTCTCTCGCACATACTCTCACTCTATCTATCCCCTGCAATCCCCAATAAACCTTCTCAACCAACTACGAGGCAACGCGGGCACTTTCCCCCTCCCGCGTCCATCCATCCATCCATCAACACGAGCTCCCGGCCCCCCAAGTGAAGGAAGTGGGTGGATTGGAGCATCGAGCCTGGACTGAACTAGACCAGATGAACCAGCCCTTGGGATTATCGCGTGTCGCCCCATCGCCTGTGCGACGTTGAAGACAACTTAGAAGACAATCTTGGCTCGTTCCCGCTTCTCACCTTGCCCACTACCTTGCCTCTCACTCCGCCTCTCATCCAAGACACCAAGACGCCGAATTCTGTTCAGTGACCGACCCATTGGCTGCTGGCCGGTGTCGCCATCGCCCTTCTCTCTCCCGACTGCCCCCTCCCCACTTCGTCGTTGTTGTTCTTCCCACTGTCGTTTGTGCTGGATACGACGTCTCTGGGCTTCCACCGCCAACCCGAGCAGTAGAGCGAGGGAGGAGACCGGCAGGTTCCATTCTCTGTTATTCTGCCCTCCGTGCGGTGCGCCAGTCACCCTCTCGGGTTGTGCCTGTCGATCCGCTACCAGTCCGTCTACCGTTCCGTCGTGGAGTTCGTTTAAACGTTCGATCAGACATCTTTGCAACCCTCCACTACCTTACCTCTCACACTCACTCTTCCTCGCTCTCTCACTCTCACTTTCACCCTTACCATCTCACTCATTTCAACCCATCTCAACGGCCTGTCTCCGGGGGACATGGCTCGTGCCCGAATCCGTTTATTTACGATCCGATACCTCGTCAGCTAGATGATCCGGCACCGATTGTGACCTTCTCTGTTTCATAAACCAAAAAACCCAAAAAGTCTCTTTAATGTCATGCAGCCATATTCACCTCCTACCATGGCCACGTTTCCAAAGTCTTTCCTGGCCGCCGTCGTTAAGCAGCTGCTCCGGGGCAAATCGTTGATCCAGGCCCTCTTAGCCTTCTGGCTCACGCCCCAAGCCGTCTCAGGGAAACCGACAAATTCAAAGGTGGATTGTTGCAGCACATCGGGGACGACGACGCCCTCGGGCCAAAGTATCGAGGAATACCTAAAAGAGGCCGAGCACCTCCTCCTGGGCCCCTTACTCGACAACGATGGCCTTCTCGAGTTATCCAACGCCCTAAAGGCACAGTTCAGAGACAAGTTGCAGACGAGCATGGCCTGCATGCTCCCTTCGTACAACCACCAGCTCCCCGGCGGGCACGAGGTCGGTCAGTACCTGGCGGTGGACGTGGGGGGATCGACGTTGCGTATTGCGCTGGTCGAGTTGCGGGGTCGTGACGCCGTGGGCCGGGAGAGCGAGATTGTGCGGATGAGCTCGTTCAAGATCGACAACGATATCAGGAACCTGGAGGGCATGGCCTTCTTCGACTGGATGGCCGAGAGGATACGGGACATGGTGTCACAGAATGGCCAGGACCCTTCACGGCCTATGCCCATGGCCCTGGCATGGAGCTTTCCCATCGAGTAAGTTCAGTCCTCGTTGTTAGGGAACGATGTATTCGACCGGTGAGAACTAATCATTTTCCAAAAAGGCAAACATCACTAAAAGGCGGTCGCATCCACGGCATGGGCAAGGGCTTCCTCGCCGCCGAAGGCCTCATGGGCCAAGACCTCGGCGAGGTCATCGAGACCGCCTGCGTGGCAAAGGGCATGACGGGTACCCGGCTGCGCGTCATCCTCAACGACGGCGGCGCCACCCTGCTCTCCCAAGCCTACGTCCATCCGGCCACCCGCTTCGGCCTCATTCTCGGCACCGGCGTCAACATCGCCGCCTACCTCCCCGTCTCCCTGATCGGCAAGCCCAAATTCGGGGATCGACCGCAAGAGTGGTGGAGCGAGGCGCGCGACGTCATCGTCAACACCGAGCTTGGCATGTTCGGCGGCGGGGGCGTCCTCAGCATCACGCGCTGGGACGGGCTGTTGAAGCAAGGGCACCCGCGGCCGGATTTCCAGCCCTTGGAGCAGATGGTGAGCGGGTACTATCTCGGCGAGGTGGTGCGGTTTGCGTTGATTGAGGCAGTTCAGACGACGGGTGTGTTTGGCGGCGTGGTGCCCAAGTCGCTTGATGAGCCGTACTCTTTGAAGTCCGAGACGATATCTGCTATTGAAGGGTACGCTTGACTTCCACACATTCCATCTCTGATTATGAATGCCTTTACTAACTGTACTGACAGAGATACGTCGCCATCACTCTCATCCTCCATCGATCTCTTCACCGCGCAGCATCCCTCATCACACACCCCCACACCATCAGACCTCGCCGCCCTCCGCAGCCTAGCCTCCTTCGTCTCGAGGAGGTCAGCCGCCATCATCGCAGCGTGCTTACACGCCGTATGGTCCCTCCGTCTCGAGTCTCTAGCCGAAGAAAAGGAGACAAACACAAGACGAACGGCGCCGACGAACCATGATTCCGCAGAGGAGGACGAGGACGAGGACGTGGAGCTTCTTCACCAGAGGATAGAAAAAGAAACATCCCTGTCCCGGACAATGGTCGCCTACAACGGCAGCGTCATCGAGTGCTACCCGGGCTACCTGGCAATGTGCCAGTCGTACGTCGACGCGCTGGTCAACAGGGGCGACAGGAGCGTCGAGCTCGTGCCGGCGAAGGAGAGCTCGCTGTTGGGAGCTGGCGTCGCGCTGGCGAGGGCTTGTGATGCTGCGTAAATGGAGTGAGGGTTTTCTCACTCAGCGTCACGTAATGTGGACTGGGAAATGGGAGGAGGATAGAGATGGATTTTGCGCTTTTGAGTGGCATAATTTCTGACAGCATGCATGGCAAGGAGTAAAAACATGGCTT